TCCACCTCCTGGGTTCAGGCAATTCTCCTGCCTCAGCCTCCTGAGTAGCTGGGACTACAGGCACGCACCACCATGCCCAGCTAATTTTTTGTAGTTTTAGTAGAGACAGGGTTTCACCATGTTGACCAGGATGGTCTCGATTTCTTGACCTCGTGATCCACCCACCTCGGCCTCCCAAAGTGCTGGGATTACAGGCGTGAGCCACCGGGCCCGGCGTCTGCCTCCATTTTCTTGGGTTTTCCAGAATCATTGCCAACACCAGCCAGAGCATGCTCCTCTTCCTTGGTTGCTCTCCTGTATTGACCAGGTCAGCCAGCCTCTTGATAGGGGCCTTTTCGATCTTGTCCCAGATGACTCTTTCACCACGTGTCCCACCCCTCTCTAGCTATTTCTTAAAACTCTGGGAGCTTTATTCCTCTGGGCATGTCCTTGTGTGTTTCTGCCCTGGCTGTCTGTCCCTCTCATCCCTTTGAGTTGAAAAGCCATCAGGGTGTAGTGCAAGGGTCATTTCTGTGGAGTCTCCCTTTTTGAGTCTAGAGTAAATGTTTGGGGGATTATAAGCAGTAGAACTTGAACGGTCCTAATAATGACTACCATTTATGGAGAAACTGTTGTGGGACAGATGGCATCCATTATCACATGTACACTAGAAGCAGATGGACAAGAGCAAGGAGCTTTTTTACGCCATTTACTAGCTTTGCAACTGTGGACAAATTATTTACTATCTCTATGTCAGTGAAATCTGAGGATTAAATGTACTTAACCATATGGAAAGCAAGCAATAAATGGTAGGTGCAGCCTCTGGAAAGATTTTCATCTCTCTCAATCCTCTCATAGTAAGTACTGTTATTATTTCTATTTTACAGATGAGAAAACTGAGGCTTAGGGAGAGTGGGTAATTGTACTTTTTCCTCTGAACACATCGCTGCAGGAGTTGTGGCTCTTCATGTTTTCACTCCAGAAGGCTTTCAACTCAATAAGTACTTACTGAGCCGATTAGAAAGATGGATCTGCAGCTCCAGAGTCACGTTGAAAGCGAAATGTAGAAGCTGTCACCGGCACAGGGACGGCCACTGCAGTCCTTTCATCTCTGAAGTTCTGTAGTCTTTCAGGGTCCACATGTTTCAGCCACCCTTTCAGCAGTGAGCTATGTATTTCTTTGAGGCAGAGGATCACTATATATAACTGTCACTCAGATCTTTTGTCATGAAAATTTGCATGTATTTGTCTTCTTTCTCCAGCTTGGTTGTTAAGTGCTTTGAGGGCAGAGGGACTGTACTTTGTATTTCTGTGTATTAACTCCTGACTCTTTTAGTCCCTGTTTTGTTTATTAAGTTAATAGGTCAAATCTGGGAAACATTAGATCTTAATCTCAAAAAGGGATTCACCTATTTCTAAGAGATGGCCAAACAGGAAAGATGATTTCGTGTGTTTTAATTTTTTAGTTTTAGAGATAGGGTTTTGCTCTCTCACCAAGGCTGGAGTGCGGTGACTCAGTCATAGCTCACTGCAGCCACCAACTCGTAGGCTAAAGTGATCCTCCTGCCCCAAACTCTTGTACTTGCCTTCCATAGCCGGGACTATAGGCGCACCCCACCATGCCCAGTGAATTTATTTTAATTATTTTGTAAGGTGTTTGTTTTTGAGACGGAGTCTCACTCTGTCGCCCAGGCTGGAGTGCAGTGGCGTGATGTCATGTCACTCCATCCTCCACTTCCTGGGTTCAAGCAATTCTCCTGCTCCAGCCTCCTGAGTACCTGGGACTACAGGCGCATGTCACCATGCCCGGCTAATTTTTGTACTTTTAGTAAAGACTGGGTTTCACCATGTTGGTCAGGCTGGTCTCAAACTCCTGACCTCGTGATCTGCCCTCCTTGGCCTCCCAAAGTGCTGGGAGTGTAGACTTGAAGAGAGCATTATTTTCTTCACATTTTCCAAATAGAAGTTACTAACCTGTTTTTGGGGGGTTATTTTGTTTTGTTTTGTTTTTTTGAGATGGAATCTCACTCTGTTGCCCAGGCTGGAGTGCAGTGGTGCGATCTCGGCTCACCACAAGCTCCGCCTTCCGGGTTCAAGAGGTTCTCCTGCTTCAGCCTCTGGAGTAGTTGGGATTACAGGTGCATGACACCATGCTTGGCTACTTTTTGTATTTTCCTAGAGACGAGGTTTCACCATGTTGGCCAGCCTGGTCTTGAACTCGTGACCTCAGGTGATCCACCCCTCCCCGCCTCTCAAAGTGCTGGGATTACAGGCATGAGCCACTGCATCCGGCCCCATCTTGTTTTTGAAATGCCACCTGTGCCTGTAATCCCAGCACTTTGGGAGGCAGAGGTGGGCAGATCACCTGAGGCCAGGAGTTTGAGACCAACCTGGCCAACATGGTAAAACCCCATCTCTACTGAAAACACAAAACACTAGCCAGGCATGGTGGCAGGTGCCTGTAATCCCAGCTATTTGGGAGGCTGAGGCAGGATAATTGCTTGAATCTGGGAGGTGGAGGTTGCAGTGAGCTTAGATCATGCCACTGCACTCCAGCCTGGGCAACAAGAGTGAAACTCCTCCTCAAAATAAATAAATAAATGGCACCTGCTCTGTTTCTCTGTTTCCTACAATCATGCCTCCAATACCCATTCATACTCTGGGCTGGGAGTCACTCACAAACATGCTTCTATTCCTGTTCTCTCAGTTTACAGTTGAAGGAACTGAGGCCACGCTCTAGGGGTTCTTCCATTTTTTATCTGACAAAGTATTCTCTGTGCAGCTCTGTCAGGACTCAAGACTTAGGGCTATGCAAGTTCTCAGTGCTGTACTTTCCCTCCACAGAGCTGAGAAGCTCCAGCTGCTGAACCACAGGCCTGTGACTGCTGTAGAGATCCAGCTGGTGAGTGAAGGGCGCCTGCGCTGGGGAGACTGCTGTGGGTCCGAGATGTGGAAAGGCTGCGGTGGACAGGCCAGGAACTGCTGTTATTTTGAAGAGGCTGCCCAGCCACCCCGTATTTTAAGAAAAGGGAGACCTCGCCGGTTTGATCCTAGTTAGTGTGGACTTAGGGACTGCAAAACACTGGAGGAGATTTCATTCTTCCCCAAGGCTTGGCCTGATGACTTGGCAGCTCTCTGTTTCCCCTGATGTCCGGGCCATGCTGGCCATTGCTTCCCTGTAGGGGTTGTTGCCAACCAGATGTTGCATAAAAACATGAAACTCAGCATGTCTCTGGTGAACGTTCTCTGCCCCCACGCCCACCCGTCACCCCACTCTTGCTTCCTCTCCTGGGTGAGGGGAGAATGTGTGTGCTGTCCCACCGGCTCCCTTCCACACTCACATCCTGGCCTGGTCTCCCACGCTGGGCACCTGCAAGTAATTCTCTCCCTTTCATCTCATAGTCACATAGTCCCCAAGTTCTGTTGCTTCTGTCTTCTGTTATTTCTTCTCCCTCCTGTATTGCCATCATTTCTCCATGCAGCTCTTCGATTGTCCTCTCCCCATTCTCCCTGGCCCACCAAGCCCAACTCCCACATCCAGAACCATGAGTGTGATCTCGTTACCCTGCATAAAACCAGCTAGTATACAGCCTCATCACTTGTAAAGTCCACTTTGCACTGAGAGTGGAGGCTTCAGAACTGGAGGGGCAGCCAGAGTGGAAGTCCTGCGATGGGGAAAGGGGCTGGGAGATGATCCGGGGCTAAACCCTGGCCGCCACTGGGCATGCTGTGGCCGCAGCCTTATTACAGGGCAGAGAGCCTAATGTTCATTGTCTTCCTAGGGTTGTTTCTGACCTTCAGAATGCACCCAGAATTAAATTAGAACAGTTCTTGGGTGCCTTTCTCTGGGAACCGTTCTGTAGGCTAAATAGAATCCCCTTTCTCATGTGTCCTGATTATTTGCATGCTTTACGCTGTGTTGCATATTCAACTTAGAGCTTAGACGAGAGAAAAAACAAAACAGCAAGAAACAAATCCCTTTCCCTCTGGGTTAAAGATCACATGTCATGTGTCCTCCAGCCTTAATCAGCAACATGTGCTACTCATGGCTTAATGACAGGCAGAGAGAAGAGTTGAGGGTTAGTGTGACCTCAGCCAGAGCCTGTGTACAGTGCTATCATTACTTGGGGGAAGATTTGCTGCTATTGAGAGTGCCTGGGGTAGGCCAGGCATGGAGGCTTACACCTGTAATCCCGTTACTTTGGGAGGCCAAGGTGGGTGGATCATCTGAGGTCAAGCATTCAAGACCAGCCTAGCCAACATGGTAAAACCCAATCCCTACTAAAAATACAAAAATTAGCTGGGCATGGTGTCACACGCCTGTATTCCCAACTACTTGGGGGGCTGAGGCAGGAGAATTGCTTGAATCCAGGAGGCACAGGTTGCAGTGAGCCGAGATCACACCACTGCACTCCAGCACGGGTGATACAGTGAGACTCCTATCAAAAAAAAAAAAAAAAAAAAAAAAGAGGGCCGAATGCAGTGGCTCATGCCTATGATCCCAGCACTTTGGGAGACTGAGGCTGGTGGATCATGAGGTCAGGAGTTTGATACCAGCCTGACTAACATGGTGAAACCTAATCTTGATGAAAAATTCAAAAATTAGCCGGGCATGGTGCGTGCCTGTTTTCCTGGCTACTCAGAAGGCTGAGGCAGGAGAATTGCTTGAATCTGGGAGGCAGAGGTTGCAGTGAGCTCAGATCACGCCACTGCACTCCAGCCTGGGCGACAGAGCAAGACTCCGTCTCAAAAACAGAGAGAGAGAGTGCCTGGGGTGTGCCAGACATGGTCTCAGTCCTTGGTCCTGGTGCCTGTGATTGTCTGTCACTTTGAATGCCCTCCCCACAGTCTTGGAAGGGAGCAAGTGTCCTCTCCATTTTAACCCAGAAGACCCGTGAGTGGCTGATTGGGTCCTTCTGATTCAGAGGCTTTACTTGGCTCCTCCAAGCTGTGTACTTGTCCTTGATGAGAAGAAAGATGTGTGTGATATCCCTTGAGATGGTTTCCTTCTCCTTTCTACAAAGTGGGTAGGCCTGGTAGAAACTGCTGTTTCTCAGTAGTTGGACCGTGTTATAGCCAGATTCTTCTCATCTTGGAATTTGGCTCCAAAAGGTAGCAAGTTGTTTACCAAGGCTTGTAGCAGTATCTCGTCTCACCAGAGAGTGAATAAGGAATGAAAGCTTTGACTGGACACGGTGGCTAACACCTGTAATCCCAGCACTTTGGGAGGCCAAGGTGGGAGGATTGCTTGAGCCCAGAAGTTCAAGGCTGCAGTGAGCTATGGTAGTGTCACTGTACTCCAGTTTGGGTGACGGAGCAAGACCCTGTCTTTAAAAAAAAAGAAAAACAAAAAAATACAGGTTTCACTTACAGTGGAAAGTACAAAGGACTTGAGTGACAAGTTCCTTATATTAACTCTAGAGCCGTTTATTCTCCCTGGGGGCAGAAAACAGCCCCAGCACCTGACGTTTACTGCATTCACTTGGGAGCCAGGCGTCTTTCAGAGGCTGAAGCCTCACCCCTCCAGTTACGCCTGAGCTGCGATTTGCTGTGGCCCTTTGACTGCTGACTCAGAGACTTGATGAGGAAATGAGGTGTCTACCTGGCTTATGACTTGCCGTGCCCAGTTGTGTATTGATTTGGAGTGATTTGGGAGCCCTCACGGCCACTGTCCTGAGCAATACTACCATCTAGGCCTGTTAGTAATTTCGTGATTATGAAGTCTTGACTTATATAGAACACTATTGCTTGTAAACCACTGTCACATGTATTCTCATTTTGTCCTCGCTGTAGGCGTTACTTTCATTCTACATTAGAGAAAGTTGAAATTTAGAAAGCCAGGTTCAGTGAACTCTGGATCAAATATTTAATAGCTGAAAGTGGATATTGTTGCTATCAGATGTTTGAATCATTTTGTGGAAAGTAGGACATTAGGTTTGGCAACTTAGAGTTGGCATTTTTGGAGTTCGGCAGCCCAGTTTGATGCTCCTGGGATTGAGATAATAAAAATTTGTCATTATGTTAACCTAGCTGTCAATAATCTGGATTTTAAAATTTTACTTGCGCTTATGTTCTGAATACCTGAAATGGTTGATATCTGACAACCTTGAGATCATGCTTTGAACTTGACTTCTTTACTTGGGCTTTTTCTCCTTTGTTGGAAAGAAAAGGTGAAGGGGCCGGGCGTGATGGCTCACACTTGTAATCCCAGCACTTTGGGAGGCTGAGGTGGGAGGATCACTTGAGTCCTAGAGTTCAAGACCAGGCTGGGCAACATATTTTTTGTAGAAATGGGGCAGCCCCATCTCTACATACATACATACATACATACATACAATAGCCAGACATGGTGGCACATGGCTATGATCCCAGCTACTTGGGAGGCTGAGGCAGGAGGATTTCTTGAGCCCAGGAGTTTGAGGCTGCAGTGAATGATGATCATGCCAGTATGCTCCAGCCTGGGTGACAGTGAGGCCCACTCTTTTTGGGGAAAAAGGGGTAGAGTGAGGGATAATGTATTCATTGTCATTTACACTAGTGATCCAAGAGGTGCTAGTAAGTTTTTTATTTCTGAAAGTTTTTCTTTCTTTCTTTCTTTTTTGAGAGAGAGAGTTTTGCTCTTGTTGCCCAGGCTGGAGTGCAATGGCGTGATCTCGGGTCAGCTCAGCCTCCTGAGTAGCTGGGAATTCAGGTGTGCAACACCATGCCCGGCTAATTTTGTATTTTTGGATTACAGGTGTGAGCCACCATGCCCAGCCCGTTTCTTATTTGTTTATATTTCATTTAGTTTAATGCAGCAGTTTTCATTTAGGTTTTCTTCCTGTGACTGGGAACCTTAGGTGGAAAAAAAAAGGTCCTGAATGTAATTAACTCTGAGGATTGGATGTTTATAAAAGCTTCTGCCATTAGTGAATTTGGCAAAATTCTTTCTCCACATTCTTTTCTCAAACAGAGATCATCTTTTCTCTGGATTAAATAATCAAATCTCTGCTGTTACCTTCCTTTTCTGCTTCATTCTTTTGGGGCAAATCATGCTAGATTACTGCTTTTTATAGACCATAATTTTGCATGTCATATTAAAATGGGTTTTTGAAGATTATTTCCTTCTCAGAATTTACATTTTCCAGAGCCACTGAATCTTTAGAAAATACTTACTTTATTTCACAGCATCATAGGGAGTAGCCCCCATTGATTCACTCAGAATCTCCCCCATCCTGGGACACCCAGGATTATTATCTAGTTGCAGAAACACTTTTGGGCTGAAGTGAGTGGAGAGTCCAAGTCCAGGCTTTTGCCAGGAGTAGAGTACATGCTGTGACCTTGGGCATGTCACATGACTTCATGAACTGTGCTGTCATCTGTAAAGTGAGGTGGTCAGACTGGGACCCTTTCCAGGATTTCAGGCCTGTCCTGTTATCTTGTTTTACTTCAATCTGCCAGGATTTCTTTTTCTTTTTCTTTTTTAGATGAAGTCTTGCTCTGTTACCCAGGCTGGAGTGCAATGGCGCAATCTTGGCTTACTACAACCTCCACCTCCCGGGTTCAAGTGATTCTCTTGCTGCCACCACGCCTGGCTAATTTTTAGTAGAGACTGAGTTTCACCATCTTGGCCAGGCTGGCCTCAGACTCCTGACCTCATGATCCGCCTGCTTTGGCCTCCCAAAGTGCTGGGATTACAGGCGTAAGCCACTGCGCCTGGCCATGCCAGAATTTCTTCTGGAACTCCTGGTGGTCCCAGTTGCCAGATTTTAGAGATTGCTGTGTGGAATCCCATCAAATAGAACCTGGACACCTTAAACTGAGAAAGATGTTTGTGATCGATCGTTGATGCCACCAAGCAAACAGGATTAAGTAACTTGACTCCCTGCATGCTGTTTCTTTTTTTTTTTTTTTTTGAGATGGAGTCTAGCCCTTTTGCCAGGCTGGACTGCAGTGGTGTGATCTCGGCTCACCACAGCCTCCACCTCCCAGGTTCGAGTGGTTCTCCAGCCTCAGTCCCCTGAGTAGCTGGGATTACAGGTGCGCACCATCACGCCCAACTAATTTTTGTATTTTTAGTAGAGACAGGGTTTCAAAACGTTGGTCAGGCTGATCTCAAACTCCTGACCTCACAATCCGCCTGTCTCGGCCTCCCAAAGTGCTGGGATTACAGGCATGAGCCACTGTGACCAGCCACATGGTGCTTTTCAAAAGGCAGCTTATGACATTAAGTTTAGAATTAGGGGTGAAGCTAAGGAAACTGGCTCAGGCTGTAGGTATCATCTCTGGATTCAGATTTCTGGGACCACATCAGAAACCAGGTTTTACGTGAACCTTTGATGGTCATTGTAGTGTGGAGCGTGGGGGACTTTGGGCTTTAGATTGGGCAGGGCTACCCAGGGCTGTGAGTTTCATTTGTAACCCTGGAAGGTTTTCTTTCCTTCTGCAGATGGTGGAAGAGAGTGAAGAGCGGCTCACGGAGGAGCAGATTGAAGCTCTTCTCCACACTGTCACCAGCATTCTGCCTGCGGGGCCAGAGGCTGAGCAGAAGAAGAGTACTAACAGCGACGGGGCAATGGATGAAGAGGACCCAGCATAGAGGAGCACAGCTGGCCTCAGCGTTTCATGAAGTTAAAAGGCCCGGCAGCTGTTTCCTGGACGTTCAGAGGATTGTTTATTTGATTTTACCCTCTATCCCAGCAGGCCTGGCTTTCATGATTAATTGGATACATCACAAAAATAAGCTGAAAAGAAATATTTGTGTCCTGGGGATAAGAAACCTGGTGAAGACAGGCTGAGGCTGTCAAGGCAGAGAGCTGAAGGTGGGGACAGTGACCGCAGACTCCTCTGTGCTAGAAAGATTTCCTCCAAGGCCTTTGACCTGATTATGGGGAGGTCTCTGCACACAGCGGGGGAAAATGCTTGTGTCGCCTTTGATGGGCCATGTCCTAATTAGTTTCATCTGCTTTCCTGGGAACTTACTAAGCAGGGGCTCAGAGTGATGTTGGGAATCTGGTTAGAGCCCCAGAGAGTTGCTCTAAGTGAAGAATGAGCCACTGACCTTGGCTCACTTTAGAGGAATTTCCTCGAGAACAACAGAGATAAGGAGAGAAACAGCCTGGCCAGTCATTCAACAGCTCTAGAGGCCCTTTTCTCTGCTGATGGGGCTTTCTTTACTGGCTCTCTATTTAGGCTAAATTTTGGGAACCAGATCACTGCAGTTGAAAACAGGTGCCCCCGGCTTAGTGACAGTGGCAGCAGAAACAGTGTTGGCCACCTTTCCAACCACCTCGCTTTCCTGCCCTGAGACAGCAGCCCAGGGCAGGTGCTTTATGTTGAGACCAGGTGATTCTCATTTGGACAACAGGCAAATTGTTTACTCCTTTAAAAAGGATACAACCATGTAGCTCTTTTCACAGAATACGTAAGAACTGGAGGTTGATTAATTATTAACATTTACTGGCTGTTGTAAGGTTGCGTCTGTTTTTGAATTTAAAATATTAAGATGGCAGGGCGTGGTGGCTCACACCTGTAATCCCAGCACTTTGGGAGGCCGAGGCAGGTGGATCACCTGAGGTCAAGAGTTCGAGACCAGTCTGACCAATATGGTGAAACCCCGTCTCTATAAATAAATAAATAAAATATTAAGATGATTACCATGTGAAGACCTTTTTAATATTCAGGCTTTGGAAAGTGTAGTTGCTCTAGGCATTTGGTTGGTTGCCTTAGGTCCTGCAAATATTGCTGAAAATCGGATTCCCCACATTCATTCTCTTTGCTGTTGTAGGGAAGAAAATGGTCATAGACATTAGCTTTTCTAAATCGGTACTCCTTTTCTTATAAGATTACATGTTTTCAGTGCTAATTGGTTTACTTGTCTTTCAGCCGTCCTCCCCACTCCGCAGGCAATGGATTTCAATTCTGTGCATCTTAGCGGTATCATCTGAGCTTCAGCAGAAGTCTGTTAACAGGCAACATTGAAAGTACCAGATTGAAACTAGGTGCGGCGGCTCACTCCTGTAATCCCAGTACTTTGAGAAGGCAGTTGTGGGCAGATCACAAGGTCAGGAGTTCGAGACCAGCCTCGTCAACATGGTAAAACCCCATCTCTACTAAAAATACAAAAAAATTAGCCAGGCATGGTGGTGTGCACCTGTCCCAGTTACTCAGGAGGCTGAGGCAGGAGAATTGTTTGAACCTGGAAGGTGGAGGTTTGCAGTGAGCCAAGATTGTGGCACTGCGCTCTAGCCTAGGTAACAGAGTGAGACTCTGTCTCAAAAAAAAAAACCAAAAACTTAACTGAATTCATGGAGGTAGAGAGTAGAAGAATGGTCACCAGAGGCTACGAAGGGTAGAGGGGGTGGGTAGGGATGGCTAATGGATATAACATAGAAGGAAGAAGATCGAGTATTTGATAGCACAACAGGGTAACTACAGTAAGCAATGATTTATTGTACTACTTTTTTTTGATACAAGGTCTCATTCTGTCATCCAGGTTGGAGTACAGTGGTGCAATCTCAGCTCATGGCAGCCTTGACTTCCTGGGCTCAAGCAGACCTCCCACTTCAACCTCTCAAGTAGCTGGGACCATAGGTATGCGCCACCACACCGGGTTAATTTTGTAGAGATAGGGGCTTCACCTCATTGCCCAGGCTGGTCTCAAACTCCTGAACTCAAGCAGTAAGCTTGCCTTGGCCTCCCAAAGTGCTAAGATTACAGGTGTGAGCTACTGTGCCCAGTCCCTATTTAAAAATAACTTTAATTGAATTTTGTAACACAAAGAATAAATGCTTGAGGGATGGATACCCCCTTTACCTTAATGTGACTGTTATGCATTGCATGCATATATCAAAGTATCCCATAAATATATATACCTACTGTCTACCCACAAAAACT